ACATTTTTGACGAACCAAAAAAATGAACTCTTACATCAACTTTTATATCACCTTCCTAATTTAGATTATCAATTGTTTATTAATTTAGCCAAAAATTCCTCTGTCACCAAAATGTCGATATATCAAACATGCTAATCAAAACGCACTCACCGATAAATTTTACCTTTCATCACTCGGAAAAAAATTTCCAAATTCCCTAATATTTCTTCCATTTTTCCTTAATGACAAATTTAAGAAGCAGAAAAGAAATGATGAAGTTGGCAGAAAAGCTCATCTAAAATTATAAGTTTACGAAACATTTAAAATTATTCAAGGAAATTTGGAATTTCTGCGTCGATTTTTTGAATGTGTCCTTGAAGGTTTCTTTTAGATAATACTAAATTAATTACAGTAAATAGAGCCCATGATTGTGTTGAACTATGAAAACAATTATTTTGCATTTCACTTTCTGATATGAAATGTTCTCGATCCAATAAGTTTCCATAGAGGAAGAGAAATTTCTTCTCGTTCTTTTGTTTGTTTCATTTGTCGCCACATTTAAAGACAGGTAGCAAAGTTTGTGCACAAAGAGAAATGACCTTTTCAGCACAGATAAAATTTAAGCTATGAAGGATTCAGGAAATTAAAGATACCTTCACATAATTTATTTATCAAGAAAAGCATTCCTTAAGTGTGTGAATTCATTTGGAGTATTATCATTTATATTTGCTATTAAATAAAATTTGATTGCTTTCCACAATCACAAGTAATTATTGGATACAGAAGTTAAGGAAAGAAAGGTATGAGAATAAGTTATATTAAATGATGGATTAGCATAAATATAACATAAAAGTTGCTGAAACACTCTTTCCCAAAATACTATTCATAAATTGATAACTATTCAAATCTTCAACTTGAGTATAATAAAAATTGCTTTGCACTTCATCATTAAATATAACTTATTCTCATACGATTTATGGATCAAAATTTCACTTTTGAAAATAAAATGAGATTAACATATCAGTGCAAATAGATATAATTAACATTATCACAGTGTGCTTTTTTCCCTTGAATTTTTTCACTTGCTAGGGTTTGAATAAAACTTCATTTTAATGTGTTTTAAACTTATCTTAAGATCTAACCAAAAAATCAACAGGAAATCAACCTTAACATTGCAATAAAAAATGATTTCTATGACATGACCATAGGCACAGTCGTATTTTTTCGCTGTTATTTTTTGCATTTCAGAATCAGATCGATATGACGTAACATTCAGTAATTTCGATAAGGTCAAATTCCGACAAAAAAATATTGATTTAACTTGTACAAATAACTTTTTGATCTTTTCAAAATGAAAGAAATAAGATTTTAATATTTTATTAAAATAGAAATTCCGAATAATGCTAAAGAACGTTAAATTGTAAAGCAATACTATCTTAACTATTTAATAATCAAAATTTTTATTAATGAGGAATAGAGAGCACCTAATTATTGATCAGAAAATATAATCATAAATGAGAGAAAGAATTAATTGTAAAGGATAAAATTTGGCACAAAATTGAAAATTTCATTGAGAATAGAAAGTTATGCTATTGAATTGTGCAAAAAAAAAGATTGTTGGAACATACTATGATGGTTTATTTTAAAGAAAATCGAAAAAAAAGCGCTTTTATTATTTATTCCTTAAACTTTGCGAGCGAAAAATTATGAACATAAATTAAAAACAAATGAGAAATGAATATTAGCAAGGTTAATCAATTTTTCATGAGAAAACCGTTTAGGATTTTTCTGAAATATTCGGAATTTGCACCGTGATGGCATTGAAAACTGTAAAATTTCTTTACAAAGTAACGTTTAATATTTATCCCTAAAATAAATTGAATAAAATAAAAAGACCTTGACTTCAGGTGGAATTCATTAAACTTTATGTTGTTTATGTTGTTTTTTGTTGAAATCTCAAAACAAACCATTAAATTTTTAATAAATGAAATAGAATGGTACGAAGTGTGTGATGATGCATCATCCTCGCAGATGAAGATCCTCAGCTCGCATTTTCATCAATGAATTTTCTGCAATGTTAGCGTCTTCTTTAGCATCCTCAAGCGTATGTTGCTCAAATTCTGACCAGCTAATTGTTCTTAAATCAAATTAACAATTTGAAAAGCACAGAAAAAATAAGTTATTGGAAGAGAATTCGGGTGTGAAATACATTGCATCACAAGTCAATTTATTTATAGGATAGTTTACATTGAAATATTCGAAGCAAAAGAAATCATATGCAAATAGATGGAAAATAAATTTAAAAACGTTCTTTGATCTATTGGCAATTTCAAAAACAACTGAAAAGTCAACACAGATAGTTTTTTTCAATGTTTGCAAATTTTAATTTTTGCTTACATCTTTTCAATGAGAACATATATTCTTTTGTTACTTTTCTTGCCTTCATCCATCTGAAAATGCACTTTCCGTTCTCTGTTGCGATAATTTTTGATATTTTCCTCATGACATCAGCATTCATCCGCTAATTTGACCTCACAGTTATGTATAGGTCGATCCAGCTTAATTAACATATATTTTGCAACTTTTAACGTTGCTGTTTCCGCCTTATTCGAATGCGCCCATATTTATTTCCTGGGAAAAATTTTTCATCAAATATTGAATTGAAATTTGTTATCATCTAAAATAAGATGATCCCTTACTTGTAAGATTACGCACTAAATAAACGACGATCTTTACTTTTTAATGATCATTTTACGCGGAATTGTAAGTTGATGATGCATTAAAACAGCAAAAATGACCCCTTATAAGATTATCCTAAACAGCTCAGATAGTCCCATACAAAATCACAAATCACTTCTGAACAGACGAAATCATAGGTCACCACTAAACAGTCACAAAATCATTGGTCATCACAGAACAGTTACAAGATCATAGATCACCACTGCAGTTACAAGATCATAGATCACCAGCGAACAGTTACGAGATCATAGATCATCACTGAACAATTACCCTCTACAAGACTATAGATTCATCACTGAGCAGTCATTAGCTGTTTGATTCGAGCTATTCCAATCTAGCGGTATGTAATCGATCAGATAGCTGCTTAAAAAAATTCAGTTATTGTTCTCCGGATTAACTATAAACAACTGCATGTTCACGAGCAACATTCCTTACTGTGAAATTTCTAAACTTAAAAATATGGAATAGGATAGAATGGAGTATTCGGACTGACTAAACTCCACCTTTTCTAGGCTTTTGATTCAAAAACTTGTCAGAAGCTGAAATAAGACGTGAGTAAGGGTAAGAGAGTCTAAGAATGTAATAATGCAAGTGTGAAAACATTTAATCCGAGGGAATCCGGTGACTCATAACTCTATGCTGGAAGTATTGGATGCTGACTGTCGACTCTCACTTTTCATTTTTTTTGGTCTGGAAGATTATTTCCAAAGAACTGAAACCAAAACGTGTTGATCGATATTACCGATTAATCATTGGATCGCTTTACTGCCGTATTGGCTATGAATTTCAGTTTCATCGGTACAATTCTAAATTTGTTTAATGCTGGATGTGATATTTTTCTCATTAATCTCTCATTTTCCGCTTGGCGAGAAAATAAAAATGGAAATAGAAAGTTGCTGGTGGAAAGTCAAACATAGCGGAGATATCTCACATCGTTTCTTCAGAATCTTCTGTAAGCATCAGACGATAAATGAGCTGCTTATTCATCATCTGATGTTTACAGAAGATTTTGAAGAAATGATGTGAGATATATCTCCGCGATTCGATACGTGATCGATTAGTTAATATGACGCTTACAGTTGGCTTAAGCAGAAGGCTTACGAAGTTGAATAGATATGAGAGAGAGAATAATTTACCTCCAAATGATATTATCATAGACCTTTGTCTATTTAGAACATAATTATAACATTTTTTTACTTTATGATTGAAACCACAAAAATTTCCTTTCAAAAGTTCTAAAATAAACAATCAATGAATTGCATAAAACAATGACTGTTTTGAACTGCAAAAAATTATATTAGAATATCAAATCCACATAATAATATAAACAAGTGGAAGATGAAAGCAATTCATTAAAGACAAATAATTTATGCAACAATTAAAATTTCTCGAGTGCATTCTAACAATCTTAACTTTCCAATTTAGCTATATTTGAACTTACCGTACAAGAAAGAGATATGTAGCAAAAATTTATGAAATATTCAAAATATCAAATATAGGCAGAATAACTTCAAATATGATAAATATAATCTGCAAAAGCAGCTTTCTTCAAATAAATCAACTTTTTAATAGGAAAAATACAATGTATTTCGTTTGAAGAAGTAGTAAAATTTTTCCCCCCATTATATAATTCATTTTAAATAGTAATTTGCACTTTCCATATCACAAAGCTAATAATTAATTCAACGTAAAGAGAAGAAATGTCAATGGAAGTCTCGAAATTGACATTTTTTTTCTGCGACAACAATTGTCAACTTCATTACATTGCGTTTGCATTTCCTCTCAGTGCCGCAAATTTTCAAGACAGCTATAAAAAAAGAAAACTTTATTAATTGAGAAAAATCAAAGCTGATAGGCCTATTTACTCACAAATAGAGTTTAACATTTCATCGCTATTTTTTTGTTAAAAGAAAACTATCATAAATACTGAAAAAATTTCCAGTCTTAGCTCCATTTAAAATGCTATATATTTTCAATCTTAACTGGTACAAAATTTCTTTGAACTTTAGCATTATGATAGCCCTGACAAACACTATATTTCCTAACCATGCCTATTTATATTTCATTCGTAAATTTTCTAAGAAGTTTTACAGTTAATTTTTATGCAATATTAATTAGGAGTATCATCATTAGAAGCTCCCATATTTCATAATTTTGTGACAAAGCTCATTTTGATAAGTCATCGCAATAGATTGTCTAAAAATGTTTAGCCATTCCAGTAAAATAAAGATCACCTAACCTTTTTCGAATGTCTAACGGTATAATGTGAAAGATTCATTGCTTTAGGATTTTTCAGTTTGGTCATCTCTACTTTCACTAGTAGAACTACAATCCGAATCGCCACCAATAATGAAACACGAAGAATTTGTTGCAGCCTAAATTTAGCTAGAATTTGAGAAGGTTCAGCATTGAAATGAGATAAAATAAGATTTGAAAATTTCTAAAATTTATTTAATTTTCATGAATTACCCGTGTTCGAGCAGTAGCAGACATTTGTTGAATGAAAATTGCATTTTGCAGCCAAGATGGCATGCTGGAAAACAATTTACAGCTGGCAACACGATCAAGCAAACATTTAATTTCACTGCCTGCAAATGATTTTTCAATTTGATATCACAAAAAAGCATGAAAATGAAGTAGAAATGGAAAACGATCATAAATATAATCAAAAATCTTCCGCACTTTAAATTTGCTCTATTTTGTTCATCTGATAAGCGCGATCTTCTCTACAAGCTAATAAAAAACAAGCTGCTAAATTCATTCTAATAGATACTTACCTGTGTTATGACCAACAATACGAACAGGTGAATCGATTGCGATTCTCATTCCCTGTTCCACGGAAATTTGTAGTTTCTTACAGTGAGCTCTTTTCTTCTCGTAAGAATATATCGTCGGATTAATTATTTCATTTAGCGAATTCAAAAGTGTAAGTTCTTGTCCGTTTAATTTCTGTTAACAAAATTTTATGGTAACTGATTAATAAAATTGCAACAAAGAGAGAATTAAATTCTGCTATTTCTTGTAAAAATACTTTCTGTTTCAACCAAGCAGAATGACTGAAACACACAATAGCACCATTCGTCCCAGCTCGAAGTGAAGCATTTATCTCGGGAATTTGCGTGTTAGCGATAATTTGCTTGTATTGGAGTAAAATTGCCACTTTTTCTGTAAGCTGCACCTGTTTTTTCTGCAAAATTAGCACGGTTTTCATCGAATTATCTTTCCGCATTGTTAATTTCATTTTATCATTTATATTTTTCTATATAATGATAACAAAGAGTTACTCATTTTTAAGTTTATTTAAAATAAATATTTGGAAAATGATAAAATAACAATGTCATATATGATATCATTTCCATTAGAATCAATAATGAGATAATTTAATTGTGAGAATTTATTTTATCATTGAAATGTTTCCAAACAAATATCATTTTTTTTCATTCACAAAAAATTTTCCAAATAAAAAAAGAATTGGACAAATTAAACCTGTCTCTGCTCAATCCAAGCTTTTTTTCTATCCTCCATTTCGGACAGATACACTTCCAATATACCACTTAGGGAACCGATTTCACTCCTTGCCAATGCTATTGCCTAATCAGATTGCAATCATATCATTCAAAAAAAATAGAAAAAGGTAATCAGTTATGATAAAACATACCTTTTGATTTCGGTAAGCACCACTTTCATTACTCATAGTCATTTGTTCAATTTCTAATGTCTCCTGAAAAGAAAGGAAGAAACGGAAGATATCGTAAGAAGATTAAAATCTTTCCGCTACATTTATCCGTAACTGATTATTTAATTGTTCATTAACTCCTTCAGTCTTTAATATTTCACTTAAAAGAAAAAGAAAATTGTACTTAATGTTAAATCTTATGAAAAATGAAGTTTGCAAAATTTCTTCTAATTAGCATGTCGCTAACAAGCAATATTGCAGCTCTCAAATGAACTTTGATGGAACTAACGATTTGTTCCTTTAAATAATTGATCCGATTGGAAAGCACCCTTCCAATAACATCACTTTCCGGATTCCATGTGGAAAAAAAATCGTTCTTGCCTTTCCCGTTCATCTATTTCTGTTTCTTCCTTACCGACGCAATTATCTAAAACAGTTATGACTTGAATATTGATTGGATAGTGAAAATTTCTTTTGCGAGAGAATTCGATAACTATCACCAAATATATCGTTCGCATTACCTCTATGATTATCTTATTACATCTCCAGGTAAAAACCATAAGAGTTAAGAATGTAACTTAAACTTTTTGAAACTTTTGAATGTCTTTAGAAAATTCAATGAAAATACAGTTCACATTACCATATGAAAATTATTTGAATTGTTTGATTATGGGACTGAGAAATGTTAGAAATGAATTAATTTAGAAAAAAAAAGATTGATTCCAAGAAAACTTCAATCTGTTATGGAGAAATCCATTGCTTCACAATATAATTATTATTAATGATGATGAAGTCTGCTTTTATGAATTCGAATTAACTTATAAGTAGCAGTTAGGGAAATAGAATGCGATAATATGGAGATGAGATATGAAAGAATAATGCAAAATGAATCGATGAGGAAATGATAATCAAACTTGTGGCAGTTTTGATCCTTGATTGATATCACTTGATCATGATCGTGGTCCGGATTGTATTTATCACTATGGAAATGTTTGATTATTCGAATGTTGACTTTGAAATTTTTTGTTGATTCAAAAAATCAATTAATTAAATATAAGCTAAACTAAAGCGAACAAAAATTAAAAAAAAAACTAAAAACGAACAAAAACAAAGGATGAAGCTTCGTAAGCTTCGTAAGATGAAGCTTTTTTTTTGAAGAAGTATGATTATCACCATAACAGAGTGATATGCAAATTCGATTTAAACTTAAGTCTTCGACCACTGGATATCACTTTTCATCCTTCGATGTGCAATTTGCAAAAAAATTTTCGAAAAAATTTAAATCGAATTTGATTACTTACTTCTTGAAATTCTCTTTTGATTTCATCCTCTTCACAATATCCAAAGAAATGATGAATGCTAAAACGAAGTGCTGATACTGCTTGTACATCATGCTTCATTTTCGGCACTGAAGAAATTATATTAGCTGATGGAAATGATTCGATATGGAATTGTTGCAGAGAAATTGAGGATGAGGAGTATACGCTTCAATTTATGGAATAAAAACACTTTCCGTGCTGAATGGGAAAAATGAATGAAATTATACATTAAACACAGGAAAAGTTTTGTTTATTTTTAAAATTAAAGATTAAACTTTTATTTCCTAAACCTAGTGCAACATAAAATACAAATTCATTGATATATTTTTTTTGTCAACAAAAGTTGAAAACTTGGGATATTTTCCAGATTGCTTATTCAGTTAACCGAATTTCTTAGAATTTATAAAACACATATAGCGTAATAACAAACAAACGCAAAATGTTTGCTACGAGATTTCCTTTTATTTCAGAATATTTCAATAATGAATTAATTTTTTATCTAAATTTTGTCTCTTCAATCTTCATAATACATTTCGCATTAAATTTTTTTTGGATAAGTTTTGTAAAGCATAGTTATCAAATTGTTCAACGATTTCGGACTACTTAGAAGGAATTATTAAAATGAATATAAATAACAGGAAGCGAAAGATAATACTGATAATTTGGACATCAATATTATAAGAATATTGAATACTCGAAATATCATATTGTAAAAAGAAATTAAGAATTGTATTTCAATATTTTACGTTCATGTTCAATAGAATTTGTAATAAAAAAAGATAACTTAGTATTTGCAATTTGTGATATCTCGATATTACCGCATTACAATTATACTGACATAATCGATGTGTTATCTAATGTATACAGAAAATACTGAGATAAGGAAGTGACGAGTAATATACATTGCAAGAGAAATTTATATAACAAAATTATTCAAACTTTTACACTGCTTTTATAAATTCTCGATCATTCACTGTAATTTCAGTTTTGGAAATAAAATAAAATAGACATTTAAATGCAATAGCTCAACTTAACTCGAGAGCTTACTCAATTTTCCCGCAATTTATACAAAAAGTCATCCTAATTTCTGCACCATACAATGACGAAGTGCCGAATTATAAAATATTTTTCTGAAAAACTAAAAAACTCATCCTGTAACATAAGAAAGACTGGTGCAAGACATAATTTGAACGACAACCGCAAAGACAGTTAACGATAAATACTGTCGTTCACTCCTTTTCACCCGTTTTCTTTGCTTGTTGCAATTTTCTGCACGAATCTTTTTAACATATATGAATATTTTTTTATTGAACTACAAAAGCAAAAATTTGTATATTTCATGAAGATTTTTTGGTGAAAATCCTCACAACAATTACCACAGCCATGAATGATATAACGATAGCACAAACATCTATAATGTAAAAACAATAACATCACGAACGAAGCTCTTCAAGTTGTTTACCCCCTGAACTAAAACTCCCTTTATGATTATTTGTTGCCTTCTACAATCGAGATAATATCTAAAAAAATACAAACATCAAAAATTTCCACAATTAAATTCGAAATAAAGTTTATTTTACTTATATAAATTCCATTTCTTTAAATGATTTCTCTATCAAATATTTCCTTAGTTTTCACGTGAATAAAAGGAAGAACTGATGTCTGACAACGTACGTAAAATCGTTATACCATTCTGAGATCTATCATTATTCATAAAAAATGCTGCACTATTTCACGTAAGTTCCTCATTCAATTTTGTTAAATATATTTATAAAATAGCGCAACATTTGTGCCATCAGTGAATTCAAAATTTTTTAGCTAAAGTTGCTTAGAGATGCTAAGGCTGAAAAGGTATATGTTGTTACAATCTCCTACATGGAAACTTTCATCAATAGGCCGAGAATAGAACAAATTAACTATACATAGGTTGATTGCTGTAGTACAAATAGCAATAACAGAGAACGAATTTTGAGTAATTATTATTAAAAAAATGTTTTTTTTTTTAAAATAAATCAAAAAATCCTGAAAAAATCTTCTAAGAAAATGAAGAGATATTTCAAATTTGGGATGGAAAGTTTCGAAAAACTTAACCAAAAAAGATTTCAGATAATCATATTTATTAAATACTTTTTCCACCACTTAATTCATTAGACGTATTCGCAACATGATTTAAACAAGAGACTTCTTCATACATATGCTCTTGCATATCAAGGAGCTAAATCATTTCGAAATCCCTCCCGCATTTAATAATTTTACTAAATTAAAAACCAATAAAACTTTTGCACACTTAAAGTGAAAGCAAACTCTTCCCAAATTTTGGAATTTCTCATAATTCTACATTGCATTTAGCCTTCCGGTTGACGACCAAAAATAGCCGTATTTGCAACTGACTAGGTCACACAAGGAACCGGACGACTTTTTTATAATTAAATTGGAACTTGTTTACTAACCTACAACTCAGTACCCCAACTTCTAAGATTCTTTTTCGAAAGATATGTATTCTAGTAATTTTATTAAAATGCAAAATTTAGATGTCTGTCTGAATATAAAATTTAAAACGTATTCAATATGTTAAAATAAATTATTGTAAAAACAAACAAAGCAAACTCCGTATAGCTATCACATCTTGCAAAAAATCAAAGATCAAAAGATAAAAAGATCTAAGTAGAGACAAAAATAAAGATGAAATATCAACAGGAAAATTCATCTGAAATTCCAAAAAACAAAAACCAATAAATATCACACTGCTTTATCATAACGAAAAACAAGTGGGAAATTGAAAACTGCTACTAAAAAAAATGCTATTGGTAATAAATTATGGCGAATTCTGCATAAAATTAAACTAACGAAAAGTTTTTAAAAGACCACAGAATGCACTGAGTACAACATATCACAAAGAAATCAGAAAATGATTGGTATTAATGGGCACTTCATCCTAATGACAAGACGAAGATGATAAGACCGTCGAGGACCTCTTCTTTCATTTGCACTCTCTGTCGTCCGAAAATTTAAGATATGAAATAATTCTCCAAATCATATATATGCCACCTCCAAATACTCCATATTCATTGAAATTCAATCTTTTCTTCTCTTTAGAAAGATATATAGGAAGACATGATCAAACGTCGCATAATTCTACATTCCACATCTGTGATTTTCGGTTTCATTCTGAAATTTCGCACTGGCCCATGGTAAATTCCGCAAGATCTACAACCAAAAGAAAACCAAAAAAACCGTTTTTTATTGAAAATTTTAAAACCAAATGAATTTAACCAGCAGAACTTCAAAAAAGTAGGTTGAAACACTAAGCAAAAAGTATTTGAGACAGTACCAATTAATATACAGAAATCATGTGTCTTGAATGATTTGCCAAACATTCGTACGTATGATTCTCCGCACGTACAGTATATGATATTAGAGACGCGAATTAAAGTATGGAGAAAATTTAGATTTGAGATTCAATTTAATTTAACTGGCTATTGACCGAATTTACATATATCACACACCTGAAACAATAAGCATTTGCTTGTACAGATTACTATGAAGAAAAATATTTACTTTGTAAATGCTGCAGCGTAATTAATTCACCACAGCTAAATCTGGTCAAAAAACTGTCACGGTATATGAGAAACAACACCGCTGCACAATCAGGTTTTTACATTCCTGAAGGTTTTCAGGAAGCATATTGAGAAAATATTATCGTCATAGCAATTAAAACACCGATAATTCAGTAGTGAACTGGTCTGATAGTTCATGGCATGTTCAGTTTTTTTAATGAACGACAGGACTAAATCTACGGAAAATTTTACAACTGTGGTAAAGTTTTAAGACCGCTATGGGAATCTATGAAATCAAGAAGTATTTAGCATTTTTTTTACAATTGAGTAGAAAAGATTGCTGACACAAATTAACAAAATCGAAACATTGAGCAAATCTGTATTTAGAAGCAGGAAGGATCACACATATTTTTTCCACATCATTTGAAATAAATTGCATTACTCCACCATTATCTGGCTTGCTATACTTGGAAAACTTTCTGTCACTTTCCATCAAACATGAATTTGCAAGAGATATTAGATACCCTAATTTTTTAAAAAATATTTAAAAAAATATTCAGACTGCACATTCTCTAATTTCGAAAAACTCATGAGTTTAAATGGTCGCTACGGCTACATGTCAATCAAAATATTTCAAATTTTGCCTAATTATTATTGTCTCTTACCATATATATTTTTCTTTAAACACAATAAGACAAAGTTGTCTCACTTTCTGCAATATCTCACATTTATTCGAATAAAATATTTATTTAGCATTTTCCCAACTGCTAAATAAATATTTTCTATACATCGCTGGAAACATAAAAATTAAATTACACAAAAATGTTGACAAAGAAACACATTACCAGAAACATTCAAGGAAAAATCAGAAGGTTGTAGTAATCGTAAAATTCACTGGCGGTTCGCCTTTTCTGCCAACCAACAAATAAGTATCCATGCCACCATCCACTCCTTTTACTTCAATGTGATCACGATATTCAAAATCATAACGATCACATAGTAAATCTCGAGTTTTTTGAGACACCTGCAAGTACTGAATTTAAAGTGATTTATTATGATACAAATTATTTGAACCAAAAGCTCCATGGTTTTCTGACTTCTATTTTCAATTTAAAATTTTATTTTATTTGGCATTTGTAATACAGTCATGAAATTTGACATACATACCGTATCACACTTAAAGATGTGAGATATGCTATTCCCACTACCAGACTATTGTTGAAGATAGGAATACGGCAAATAACTTCACGTCTTGAAAATTTGGCGAATTCTCAACGTTGTGCTTCTAATGCCACGCACTCACCATAAGAAATTATTGATGTATTTTTGAACTTCTTGAACTATAGCTAAGTGAAAAAGTGAAAAAATAATAGAAATGAATAAAAATAGAACCTGTATTCGGTTCTCTATACCGGTACTATACATTCTAGAAGCAATATTGACTGTATCACCCCAAATATCGTAGTATAATTTTGTGGTACCAATAACACCAGCTGTCACTGGACCAATATTATAGCCAATTTTGCAAACAAAATCAAAGTTCAACAAATCTTGGTTAAAATAGTTTAGCTGTTGTTGTAAACCGATTGCAAATTCCATCAACTAAAAAAAATTAAATAGATTTGTAAATAAATAAATAAGTGCTATTAGATCCGAAACACATTCAAAATACTCTTTCTGCGAATGACTATTCACTTTTCCTCACTGTTTCGTTCAGTCAGACGAGTGAAGATAAAAAATATAAAATGGTACCTATGTAATTATTTGAATTTTCTATCATACATCCTATGGGCTCTCAAAAAGTGAACTTGGATTTGCGAAGAACTCATAGTAACAGTAAACTTGGTAGTTTTTGTAAAATCTCTGACTTGATAAAGATGTTCATAAGGATGCTGGGCTGAACGTCTCATATCTGGATTTAATCCAGCTGCAGCCATATATGTAGGTCCGATAGTTTTGATTTTTTCCACCTGTGAGAAATCTGGTCTATCTAGTAATTCATCGAAGTCCCCAATAATCTCATTTAGCACTCGTAAAAATTCGCGTCCGCCTAGAATATTTAATATATTTTTTGTGAACATTAAAAATTCCAATATTTCTGCTTTAAATGCATAAGCTTTTTACGGGAAATCATTTATGCCGAAAGTACTTATTAGCCTGCACACAGAGATATCTTGATATATCCAACAAAAAATTCACTTGAGGCCTTTTGTGAAATATAGTTACACGAAAAAATTCTCACATGCTTTACAAAATGCACGAAAAAATCGAGAAAATCTCTACTGAAAAAGCTAAAATTTTCCAGAATTTAAGCAAGCAACAAACCCTCAAAAGTTTCTTCATACATTTCGTTCCAATTGGTGATCGTAGCAAAAAGAACTGCCGTGAGTGCATGGTTTTCAGAGTATCTGATACTTGATTTCAATGAATCGATGGCATGTTGTGGAATGATATTGGTTAGAAGCCAGTCAGCCTGATCACGCACCGCTTGCATTTGCTCAGTATCGCGTTGTGCTTGTACGTCGCCGAAGAAAGACATTCGAAATGCAGCTTCAAACTAAAACAATTAAAAAATTAAAGTACTATTAAGTATTCCAAGCTGAGAATCTTGAAATCTCAATATTCAATATTCAAGTTTTTGTTTGAGAATTAAATACTATTGAAATGAATTTTCGAAATTCACTGGAAGAAAGAATCAAGTGATAAACACTTGTGCTAATATCTTTTCGAATAACCATTTTGTCTTAAAATAAGAGCTTAATTGGCGAGAAAATCATACAAACTCCTAGCTGCTATCAAAGACCTTTCCCAGACACGCAGACTTCTCCGTATATAGTTGCGTAATCACAGAATCTGCACTACTCTATTAAACTTCTATATGCAATAATCTATTTTTCTTCTTTCCTACTTGAAGAGACAGAAAGAAAAATCTTGCCTGGTAATTGAGAAAAGCAACCAAAACGACAACCAAGAAGACATCAACACAAATTTCAGGTAAATTAACTGGGGAACCGAACCGTCCCGACGCCCACACTGTCACGGTGCCATTACAAGAACGTGGCTCAGTATCTCGATTATTGAATGCTATAACACTCCGATTAAGAATTTTTTCAGAAGCTCAACTTAATTACTAGAAATAAAAGTGAAAATTATAAATTCTAACATACTTGCATTTGAAAAATAATGTTTCTTTTTCCAGTAATAGTTGGCAGCGAAGAGGTGTAAATATTCGTTTAACCTCTTGATCTCGCTCATTTTTATGCCCAATTCTAAAGCACGACGTCATACCTTTTACGAAGAATAAAAATCTATAACAACAATTCTTTATCACTTATGTAAAAAAACTTACATTTATCAACTAATGAACTGATGCGGTATTGGCAAACATAAGTGAGCCATAAAAATACGACACCGACCAATAATGCCTCAGCTGTTTTTGGCCAAGCTGAGAGTTGCGAGAAGTTGCAATGTGCAAACAGTGCAACCAGAAATATATAGGCTAAACAAATGATAGTATACTTATATGCATCTGGTATTCCTACATCCAAATTAAAGAGTCCAAATTGCAGAAAAAATGGTTGACAATATCATGAAGATCAGTTACAAATCTATGAAAACATCAATTCGTTATTTTTCTCGCAAATATAGTGTCAGATTACATGTCATGCTGAATAACATAACATGGGTTTATGAGTCTCCAAAAGATTCTTACTGTTTAGCCTTCGAGCAATTAACCTTTATGAATCGGATTTCAAGTCTGATGTTTCAAAGTACTTAATCTTGTTTAGCCAAACTTCTAGCAGCAAAAACAAAAATTCAAAACATACAAACAATCCGAAAAATGAAAAAGTAAAACATACAAAACAAAATCCGCTGAGCAAGCAAATTTGGTGAAATACACATATATTCCTGGACAACAATATCATCACATAAAGGTGCTGCTGTTAACGCAACACCTGCTGGCAGCAATATGAGTACCATTCCTAAACAAAGTATATGAAAATATTTTCATTAAAAAATAAGTAAAGCAAATAAGGTTAATTACAGGTGAGAAACTTCTGCTGACCACTGATTAAAAGTCCAAATTACCTCGTAAAAATAAAGTATATTTAAATATAAACTATGCAAAAAATCCTTTTGTATTTTAAAGAGGATACGAGCATCAGAATGCATTAATATTTCACGCTTGAAAATAACTCATGATTCACTGAGTTAATATTCCTTATAAATCATCTCATAGATGGAACATTCATGGTTCTTATAATTTCGCGATTTCTTCCTAGTTTATAATATAAAAAAAAGCATTATGGTCTAAAGCTAACCAATAACATGACGTGGTGTCCAAAGATTAACAAACGGGAAAATTGACTGATGCCTTAGTAATGGTATACCGATGATAACGATAATTAATATAATAGCAATGAGTGAGATCGCAAAATAAATGATAAAGATGGTATTTAATATTCCCGAAATAAAAATCGCAGCTGAACAGATGACGAGCAACATCCCAGCTACTAATACATCGATAAATACACCCGAATAACGATAATGTAAGTCTGAGTTATCAATGTGTGAAGTCTGCAAATTTGTTTCACTTGTTGACTACGTGAAATTTTTATTTTGATAATTGAAAGAAACATGCTTCGAAAGAAATGTTCGTTATAGTCGGCTTCTTGAATGCATTGCAGCTATCGTTTAATCATTATCTATTATAAATGTTATACCATGACCCATGCTTATGAACCAAAATTATGTTGAAGAAAAAGATGAACATTTTTGTATCTTCGTACGCCATCATAACTGGGCAATTGGCGATCGATTGATTCTGCAAAATGTGCCCTATACCGCTTTTCCATGTTTACTTCGTTAAATCGTAGGGTCCATCTGTTTAACCAGTCATTGCGCATCCAGAAACCACGATTAAAATTAATATCTGCATTCTGTAAAATATAGGGAGAACAAAATTTGTCATTTTTAAGATTAAATCGGATATATGACAAGACGAAACTAAATGTAAAATTCAACCTAGTTCCAATTAAGTTTTATGAAATCTTGATCTTTATGCATTCAATTTATGTGTTATATAATTTACCAAAACACTTTCTAAAAACTTTTTTTAACTTCTTAAAAGCCAAAAAGAATACTGTAAACAATCCTAGTCGACTGTATTTGATAACTATAGGTATGCCAAAACACCATACCTGGATTACTATAGCAAGACGTTCATCGAAAGCACGATTATCTGTATCAAACCGTGTTAACGATGGGGCATTCTGATGGTATGAAATTGCGGTTTCGATTGGACCTGCACATGAAAATGTATCCGAAACTGAATCCTGAAAAACATGAAAAAAGGATTTGGAAAAATAGAATATATACAGAAAAATTGTCAAAAGTGAAAATGAACGTTTGGAATTTCGATTTAGGAGTCTAACACTAAAATTTATTTTGAAGTGTTAAAGTTTGAATAAAAGAAAAAGCTTTGAGCCTCATCTTGTTTTTAAAAATTTTTGTACCAGCAAATGTCCAAAAAACAACTAATTAAAGATTAATTTTATAATTTTCCATTAATTTTTTAAATTAATAATGGCACACTAAAAAACAAATAAACCTGCATTCCTGAACTTTTCGAACCACCTCTGCTACCTCCTTTTAATAGTTCATGCGACATTTTACCACTTAACGGATCTATTATACTGAATGATTTCGTGTCATCGGGATGTAAAGCATGTAACGAAGCAGATTTGCGTCTTTTTTCAATAACTGGCGATTTGCTATTCGCATTCTGAGACAACAAAAAAAAAACTCTTTGAGCTAAACAATTAAAAACATCCGGCAACATTCAGCTAGCAATATTCCATACCATCTAACTGAATCGATCCATCAGAATATTTCAAAAGTAACAATTGTAAACATGAATTACATATATACATTATTCATTCTTGACTTAATGTTTAACTGTTTAATTATTTTCAAATTTCCTAACTTTGCAAAGAACAAACCTTATCCAAACATTCGCTGTAATGGAGAATTTGTGTTGAATTACTTTCACACTTTCTTTCTAACATTTTCATCTTCAAATTGCCACTATACCTTTCAATGGGTATTGACGTTGTTTGCATCATTTTAATCTTATTAGTTAACCTCTGCAAATTAATGCAAGTATGAAAGATACTTTTTCCCCTAACAATGCTGTGGAGCAGCTCTTATCGTTTCTAACTTATGTATTATTCTATCTAATAAATGTTGAAAACTGACAGTATTTAATAAAAATAAAAAACCAAGAAACAAGATATTATCAATAATGAATAAGTGAAAATTAAATTTAGAAAATTTAAGTCTCCAGCACCAAAATTAAAAAATTTTCTTTTCGTTTTATAACTGTTTTCAATCTGACGTTCTACTATTTTATTTGACTTTTATTAGCTTTAAAATACAGTCATCAATTAAAAGTTCATTAGACTTCCACTATGTTGTTTCTGAATATTGAATATTCAACCTTACTCGTAATAAAAGTGAAAGTTTGGGAACGGAAGTTGCAAAATTGAAATAAAAAACTGAGTTATAAAATTAAATTTTCGAAAGTCAAAATTCAAGAAAAATTTTTCAGAAGATGATTGCGAAAAAAAACCTTCCGGAAGTTCATTTGGGAATGATTTATTTGGGATCCTGCTGAAAGAGTATCATGTATTGAATCAGAATGGGGAATCGTTTTGTTGATTGGACCACATGTATCTTGCACGCGACCAGCAATAAAATAAGTTTTCATACCTAAAAAATGATACTGAAAAAATTCAGTTATAAAACAGTGGTTTCGGGCTACATGTCCCAAATGTAACTTTATTTATTTCATCATGAAACTCCTAAATTTTTGAATAATACTAAATTTAGTTCTTTTTATTTTATTCTGAAATTTTCAAAAATTTGAATGTCCCTTAATTCACTATTTTATCTTTCCCTTCTTTCCGCTTTGTTTTCTCTGATCTCTTTACATTGCATGCCACAATCGAACAAGAAAACTCATTTTGAGACTTGAGCGCCTTGTCAAACTCGGCAACATACGAGGTAGTTGAAATGAAAACTGGCAGAAATAAACGAAATGACTTTTCCTACTTGCTTCATTTTTATTTATTTGACTGAAGGTCTGCCTTTAATGAAGTACATATTCTATTTTCGTCCTTCGAAATTCAATATAAACATGTCTCCTTGATTTTTATCTCTTCTGTAACTCTCTCCGCTCTCCCCTCTTCGCGCTCACTAATCAATTGTCTTGGATAATAGTTGTTCTTCATTGACTGATTAAAATTTTTCTTACACTTCCCTCTGTTCATTTCTTTCAACAATGTAAGATAACTATACTATTCGATCAATCAAAAATTCTTCCTCAAAAAACAATTTACAATATTATTTTTCCAAATTGCAAACTTTCAGTGCTTTCTCTCTTGTCAATATTCCAATAATCGAAGCCTTATCGAGATCAATTTCCTCATTTTCAAGAGAATAAATAGTAGAAATGTATACAAAAACAGGCTTCAGTTCAAGTTATTTTTTCACTGAGATCGAAATTAACAAATAGCAAATAATGTCAAAATGAAAAAACAAATCTTGATTTTAATGTTATCTTTAATTCCTACTTCAGAATTAGTCGAATTAAATGAAGCCAACATTCATTTTGGAAGATCCACAACTAATCTTTTCCTTTTTCTTAGAAGAGCAGAAAACTTAAGATCATTAAATTCCACAATTTATGATTGTTTCCAGACTGTTTTTGTTTTTTCAATACATCAAAAAAAGTAGAAGTGAAAA